CCCGCCCGGCCCGGGGGTGCGGGGGTGCCCGGAGGCGGTGTGATGCGAGGGAGGGCGGTGGGCGGCTGCTTTTTGGTCCAAGAAATGTACGTTCTATAAAGTGATCTCTTGTATCTTTCACTGTTTTGGGGGGGTTTTTTGGTTTTTTGTTTGTTTGTTTTTGCTCACAGAACTTGTGGACAAATGCATTGGTTCACGCATTCACATTGTGATGAAGAGCGATAAAGAAATTGTTGGAACGCTTCTAGGATTTGATGACTTTGTCAGTATCCTTTGATGGAAATGTTTAAGGCCGCCCACCTTATGCTTTGGCTCGGTTCGGTTATTGCTTTTGGGAGGTTTGAGTTCACTGGGTAGAAACTTTTTGTATTATTCTGGTATTTTTATTTTACAGATAAAATCACAGTTAAGTGTAAAATTAAAATACCTTTAAATACTTTGATTTTAAAATTCTTGGCCTTGTTTTCCTTGAAACTGGATTTTCAGATATGGTGTTAGAAGATGTTACAGAATTGTAAGTATTATTTCTGCCTCTTGTTGCTATTTATTTTTTGATTTCCTGAGGGAAAGCATTGTATAAGATCTGTAAGCAAAGTGGTTTTATATTTTTGGAATACTTGCCAGCTGAATAGTTTATGCCTTGGACTTAAACTATAGAGGGTGGTCTATTCAGGACAACCATGTTGCAGCATAGCAGTTGTGCAATTTATACTTGTAATCAGATTCCTAATTTGTAGCTTAATTTTGCATGGGTTGTGTGTTGAACTTCCCAGTAGTTTGTTGCTTTTACATTTCCATAAGGTCTAGGCAAGGATTTTAAAAGTTATCAGTCTTAAGTATTTATTATTTTTTCATGTTGCTATTTGAAACCTATTTTCAATGATGGTGGTATTTGAGAAATTGCCAAGACTTACAAGGTAAATCTGTATCTTATGTACTGAGCAGAGAAGTAAAGTGGATCTTTTTAATTGCCAGGTAACTTTCTTTACCCAGGTGGTCAATTTATCAAGATTACGCTGCAGTGTGGCTAATTATTTGTTAGTTCCAACAAATCTCAGCTTAATACAGAGATTTATGGCAGTTCTGTAATCAAAACTGTAATCATTGTCCCTGGTTATGTGTTCTTACTTACTTTTTCTAATGCTACTTCAGTGAGATTACACCTGAGGGCAGAAGAATCACAAAGCTAGACCAGATTTTGCTAAATGGAAATAACATAACAATGGTAAGTTGTAACTGTTAAAAGGCTGCATGCATTTATTTTCTGTATGTGTAAATTGATCGGTAATTGAGCTCAACTGCTTCAAGCTGAGCTTTCCAGACAGTTCCATTACATAAGCTGCTTTCACGTAGCTTCTAGGGCATATGTGTGTATGGGTGATGCTGGAAAAGTGATCTTACTACCTTCCTTGGTACATGTTACATTTTAAAAAAAAAAAAAAAAAAAAAAAAAAAAAAAGCATGGCCCTAACTTTATTTTGGTCAATGCTTTTTTGGTCTTCAGGTGCACAAGGGAATCAATCACTGGCTTTGATGCCCCCTCTATAGACTGGTTCATACAGTGGCTTTGAACTCATGAGTCTTTGCCTGCATAAGCATGTAGGGTGGGATACATCTACATTTCATCCATTCTTGTATGTTTAGATGTGTTTGCAGCAGTTTGGATGCTTACAAGCTCATAAAGTCATTTGGTGATCATGATACCATGTGGTGCCCAGAGAGCTGTATCTTTATGTGCTCTGAAAAAAAATCTGGTGGTCTGTTGGATTATACCCAATCAAAAGCACTATGATTTTTAGTTTATCATGTGCTAATGTGTGTAGATCAGTAGTGAAACAGTAATTAAATATTGTGATTATGCACCCCTAAGAATTCTGCAATTTCTTAAATACTGCAAAACTACTGTGGGTCTGCTTTTTTGCCTGTCTGCATAGATGGCTACAAAATCTGGACTTCCTACATAAGGGCATTCCTAATTTTGTGGGAAGAGAACAGGAAGACTGACTTGAGTCTAAATGAGCTCTGTGTGAATGAGGAATAATCTGCATTTTGCTGTCTTACCTACTTTGCACCTCCTCACTGTGTGTCTGAGCCAGTGCCATCTTGACTTAATTACGAAGCCTTTTTCTGCTTTGGCTATTGTTCCGCATCCTTAAAGGACAGTGCCTGTTCTGACTTCTTGTATGGGGTAAAATTGCTACCATCCAGTTAAGCTGGTGGTGTACTGCTCTTGAAGCAGAAGCTGGTGATTCTTAGAGTGCAGATTTTCAGCAAGACATAGGCATGTTTCTGTATTAGATCTTGTGTCTTTTGGGGACGCATCTTCCAGTGTCGGGAGGACTATGCTTTAGACTTTTTCTTACTTCGGTCCCAAAAGCAGCCAGGCTCTTTTTCTTTAGAAGTGCTCAGCTAGTTATTAAGAATATATCAGTAAAAGGAATGGTTATTCTCTTCTTTTTTTCACTTATTCACCTTATTTTCCTTTTGTATTTCTTTTTCCATTGTTCAGTTCTTTTCTTTGCTTCACAGGAAAATGCTATGCTGACTTACTCCCTGCTGCCTGTAGAAGGCTTCAGGCTCTTTATTAGTTTCTGGCCTCTGCTTAGCAATAGAAGGTGGAAAGAGGAAACCAACTTTCCAGTATAATGACAGTCTGGGGAAGACTCAGCGACTGGAGAAATGCTTCATGAAAGGAAGCCTTTTCTTTGTCCTTTTAAAAATGAGCTGTATTGTTTCTAGACAGAATCATCTCCTTGAAGTGAATAACAAAGAAAAAGTAAAATATGTGTTATCTAGGGACTTCTTTGTTTTTTGTTAAACATTCTTTGTATTTTGGAGATTTTTTTTTTTTTTTTTGGCATGTGCTTCTCTGGCAGTAACTGACTTCCTCAGTTGGGAGAGGAAGATAATACTGAATCTAAACCCCACTTTTGTGGTCTACCATGAAGTCTCCATCTGCTAAAATGCTTTAAAGCAAGAACCATCGCATATGGGTTTGTAAAACTCAAATCTATGCCACTAACACAAAATTGTCTTATTCTTTTATAGCTGGTTCCTGGAGGAGAAGGACCTGAAGTATAAATTGATACGCTTGTCATCTATGAAGACGTGTTATATATAAATATATAATCTAAATAGAGCTTTGGGGTATGGGTGGATTTTGGTGTGGGTTATTTGTTAGTTTTGTTTTTTTTGTTTACACACCCTTGCAGTTGACATTTGATAAAAGACAAGTATTTCCTCTTCAGGGAAGGTGCTTTTGCTAATGATAATGATGACTTTGTAAGTTGAAACCATGACTTTCTTGTAAAGATGCACTAATCTGTGCTGAATAAAAGGCTTTCTTTTCATTAGTTATTGTGTTCTGTTATGTAAGTGCATGAGTTGTAGATAGTTTTGTAACTGGCAATGGAAAAATAATAGTTATGTTTCAGTTGCTGTCAGTCTTCAGTTTTTCTACATCTGTTGCATTTGTTTATGGCCCAAGCCTGTATAAAACACAAGTTGTGAGCTGATATTGCTATTTGGAGTACGGGCAGTACTAAGACAGTACTAAACTGGATCATTTGTTTAAACACCGCTTCAGGCTGCATCACCAGAAACAGCATGTTAAGAGTGCTGTAGAATTCCAAAAGCTCTTCAAAGTGGATGCATCTGTTTGATGCTCAGCAGCCTTTGGTTCTGCTGGCCTTGAGGATCAGCTCTCTTGGACTTCTTTTGGTAGATAGACTTTCTTATAGTAGAGGCCCTATAATGGTATTCGGCAAGCGAGGACGGACCAGACCTAGTTCATGTTCACAGGGTTAAAAAAAAAAGGTGGTGTTACAACTATTCATGTCAGTGGTGACTCAGCTTTCACCACTAAGTGGTGCTGTGTATGCTTAATTAAAGTGGGAGCTGCCCATGCCTGCTTGCGTAGTTCAGAGTAGTCATTTTAGAGTAAATGTTGTTTTGCCTGCATTTGATCTCCTGTGATGTAAAAACCTGACAGATGTTGGGGGCAACTACTAATTCAGGACAATTTCTATAAAGTAAGGAATTGCTGTTTTTATTTTGTCATGATGGACAAAAAAATGACTGAGTCTAAGTCATGTCCGCTGCAGCTTTTACCTCCATAAACTGATTTCTGTGTGTGACTGTCTGGAGAAGAATCACAGGTGCCTGCTGTTATTACAGACAAGCAGGGTAGAGTATGGGCTCACAGGGACAGGACATGCTTTGCCTTCCCATCACCAGAAGAAGAATTGAAGAAGGGGGCACAAGAGCAAGAGACTGCAAAGAAGTTGCTCTGCTAGATCCTTTTACCTTGCTTTATCTTACAGAAAAGCTGCTAGCTGTGGCTTAGCTCAAGATACAGTGAGAAGTTCTTGCTTTAATCTATTAAAGGGGAGAGAGTCTCCCTCCCCTCTCCTAGGGAGCGTGCTACTTTTGACTCGCTTGTTCTGAATCTATGATCTGCAGTGATAATGTTTAGATTGCCTAGTGACAATCCATACCATTGACTCCCTGAATGGTTTTTAATCTCTGTCCCCACTTCCTTCTCCAGCTTTTTTCAATGCATCAATTAGAAACAAAAACCCAAACACTTTTTTAACTTACATTTGATTGGAACATCATGTTGGTTTTGGCCCCAAACACCTTGTTTCCTACAAATAAGTTGAGTCTTTTCATCAGAACACTTCAAAGTTTTCTAGCCAGTGTAGTACTATTGTGTTGGGGTTTTTTTTGAATAAGGTTCTAGACAAGTTCCAGCGTTTCTGCTTCACTCAATATTTTGAAAACAATATTAAACTGAAGAGAGGTTTCCTGCTTGGGAGAGAAGAAGAGCAGATTTTGACTCAAACAACTTTTGAAAGAGAGAGGTAAACTTTTTTTCTTTTTGGATTTTTATTCTGACAGCACAAACATCTTGTTCTCTCAGGATTTTGTTATCTCTGGAAAAAAAACTTGGTATTGCTTCACTTTCTCCATCTCTGGTTGTGGTTTTTTTCACTCTCTCCAGAGGAAGTGCAAAGACTGCTATCTGTTAAGACGACGTTTTAACTCACGACTTGGAGATCTACAGACATCACTCTAAAGGCAGTTTCTGTGCATCCAAATGCTGCTAATCCTTTAAAATATGAAAGGAAAGATTTGTAACTTTGAGCTGAGAATTCAAAGTATTCCAGATGGGTCTGGTTTGCTTTGGATTCAGTATTCCTGTAGCCTGTTGCTTTGGAAGTGCAGGTAAACTCTTCAACTGAATAAGCGAGTGGTGGTGTTTTTTGGTTTTCCTCCCCTAGAAATCTAGTGCTTAGTCATACTGCATTGTCCTGTAGAAGTTGTGGACGCTGTGGTGTTCTCCAGAATGCCACTTAGGCTGCCACTACAAGCAGGTAATTTAAAATAATAACCTTAGGCTTTAAAAATATGTCAAAGTTAAAGATGCTTAAAGATTAGAGCAGGGTAGACATCAGGTTAAAATAACTTTGTTTATGACATGAGCAGTGATGGCTCCTTTCAGGTTTTTAGTTTTTTTTCCTTTTTTAAGATGGCACTGGTTGCAGTGATCTTCAGTTTTACTACATGGCTAACTCTCTTAGTATGGACATGTTTCCTTTCTGCCTATTTCACTTTACATGCAGACATAGTTAAGATAGCTGTTTGGAGCTGTGGAGTGAATATATAGGTGTGTGAGTGTGTATAAAAATAATAAGATCTAAAGTGCCCTCCCCACAACCTTAGTTTTTGCTGACTTATATTTCAGTGTCACCAAGATTTTAAACTGATCTGAGTATTGGTGTTGCTAGTGTTTCCATGTTTGTCTAACTACTCTTAGTAAATAAATAAAAAAAGAATCAAAACACTTGTTTTATTGCTTGTCCTATAACTATACAGGCTTTCCCTGTCTCATATCTATTCCTTTTTTCAGGATTCACTATATTTTTTTTTTTTACCATATGAAAGGGGAAGAGATTTCTGGCTTACTGTCGGCTTTTAATAGATACTTTATCTTTGGGGAATTGCCCAGCAATTAATTCATAGAGTTTGGAATTCAGTTGATGGATATTTTGCATGCCTGTGTTCAAATATTTATGCTAACAAGCCATCATACAGTTCATGTTGATAGCTTTATTGATACTTAAACATAAGCAATAGTCTTGTTTTTAAATAACGTTTAATCTTTTTCTCTTTGGCAAGAACAAACAAGTCTGCCTGGTTTTGTAGTACTTGCAGCTTTTCCCTATCATCACACTTTAAAATGGGGAAAAACTATATTGAATACACAGTTAGGGTGGTGATTTTTAAAACACAAAGTTGCATAATAGTCTTGGGAAGAGCATGTGTGACTGAGTTGAGAGTCTGTGGTGCAGCATTACTAACATTTGCTAAAAAAAGTTTTGAAGGATGAAGCATTTACTTTATGAAAGATACTTGAGGACCATTTTTGGTGCTGCTAAAGTTTATTGGAAGATTTGCACTGGTTTCAGTGGTTATGCAGGTTTGAGTTCTGCTCATGCATTAAACCTGAAAAGAACAGAAACATACCTCTGAAGCAAGTTTTTTGTATGAAGGGTAATCAAACTAGTAACCTATTTTAAGAGTGATTTAAAAATATTTGGAGCATTGGTTAAAGGCAAATAAGTAAAGTTTATCATGCTCTTACGTCAGCTGTGACTATTGAATGCAGTCAGCAGTCCACCTTGGAACTTTCTGGCATCCAACTGCAACGTGTAAACTGTAAGACTTCACGGCTATGAGCTGACAGGCCATGGTGTTCTCAAAGCATAAATTGCTGTAAGTTTAGTTTCTTGGCATGGGCATGGCAGTGACTCTTTTCAACATTAGTAACTATAAGACAGAGTAAAAGACAAATTTAGTGAATAATATGTCTCATTATCAAAATAGCTGTTTGCATGTCAACATGATGCAGATCCTTTCTATGGATCCATGCTAGCGGTAGTGCTGGTACGTGTCTTAGAATTTGACTTATACTCTCTTGAGCTCATTTAAACTCTTGGCCTTCCCTACATCCCTGACAGTATGTTTCATAATGGAAAAATTACTTCCTTTAAAAAAAAAATAAAGAATGAATGGAGGAAGTGGGGATAAAAAGTCTGTTGTCTGCCAATGTTGTGGGCTGCTCACTCATTTTTCCATAGAACTCATGGTTGTGGGGTTTTTTTATTTTTTCTACCTTAGTCTATACTCTGCACCTTTAATCATCTCCTGAAGTTTGTCTGTAGTTTTCTACATTAGTAGGTAAACATATCTATTTTATTTTATAGAGCTTTGATAGTCTTTAAATAGTCTTTAATAGTCTTTGATAGTCTTTAAATTATACAAGTAGTTTAAATCTTGGAACAACTGTATTTGCTTATCAATTTTTCTGAGTAGTTATGAAAATTCTATTTATCAGTTGCCCGTTTTTTAAATGAAAATAAAAATGTTAAGTAAGAAATATATAGGAAGCAAATATAAGGGTCCTACTGCTGCTCAATGTTGAGAGATCATGGGAAACAGAGAGAATTTATATTAAAAATTATGGACATTTTTCAAGGTATTTTTCCAGGTCTGAGGCACACTGGAAGATTTCTTTCATCTGGTGGTGTGTTTGGTTTTGACTTCAGCAGAATACATTGGCTTAAACGAGCTGAGAATCTGATGATAAGATTTTTATACTCTACCTAATGTAGTATTGTGATGACTTGTCATCTGAAATCAAAATTGTATTTTATCATCTTAACAGGAGGCTGGATCTTTGATCTGGAAATTATGCTGATAGTGACGTTACTTCACTGGTTTCTTGCAGCCCCTCAAGTTCATTAAGGACAATAAAGACCCCTTCTTTTTTTGTTCTGGTGCTATCATCAGTGGTGGAAGTATTACGTTGTCGGTTGTAAGATGTGGTTTAACTGCTGTTGGATTCTGCTTTTATGCCTCAAAAACCTGCTGATTTAAATGGGTTTGCACAGCTTATGCTAATGATATGGCTGAAATGAAATAGGATGTTGTGTAGTCTGATGCAAAGACTGTATATGGTCATGATTTGTAACTGGGTGAGAGGGATTGGTTAAAGTTACTTCTTACTTGCACAATTTAGTATCTTAAATATGAGTGAACAGTGTAATTGTAACATTTTTACAAAAGAAAATTTATAGATCTGTTTTATCCTGTGTTAGAATTAAGATACATATTTACTGAAGACAATGAGTTGAGCCCAAACACTGAAACACCTCAGTTTGGGTACACTGTTAGAATTTCTGTAAAATTTTCACATCGTAACAATCTGCCAGTTTACGTTTGTTGAGTCCGAGACATTGCATGATGCCCTATGAAAAGGTAAATATTGCTAATAATTTATATTTGGTTT